AAATATTATCTTGTTTGATGTCACTTCACAACCCTGGATGTACTTGAATAGTTGACTGGCTGTGCAGCATCAGATAACACTAGATGCTTTGCTTTATATTAGAGTTCAGTCTGACACCCCTGATTGCTGTCTGGATACTGTCTGGTTTCCTAACACAGCTGTTAGTGCTGTGCCTTCAGTTGGCTCATAGCCATACAGGCCTATGTGAGCAGTTTGAGAAGATACTGTGTTTTAATGGCAGACCCCACATGGCCAGGCTGGCTTATGTCTGCCTGAATGAAAGGCTGGGGGGTGATAAGTTGATGCCAGGGACAGTCCTCTTTGTCTTGTGGTCACACGCTCCAGTCAACCGTCAATAAAGCGAATTGTGCTGAGAAATCTCTTTGCTGCTGCCTGGTTTCACAGCCTGCACTGAGCATGGTTTTTTAGATGCTAACAGCAATGCATTGGAGGGTAAAAGCCACTATAAAATATGTAGGCTACTTAAGTTTACTCTAACATTACCCTCTGGGCTTGTGCATCAATATGGATTTAAAATCAATATGGATTTAAAAATTGAAAACTTACAACTCTGGCAAGGCCTTTCAAGGCAGGGAAATCACAAACTGACTTTTATTGTAGTAAAATTAACTGTTGGTGGTTGTTTTGCTCTCTGACTGTCTGCATAACACCAATTACAACTTTATAAAGAAAAAAACGTATTCATTAACAAACAGTTTAACCAAAACGCAAAGAAAAAATGTATAATAAAATTTCGAAGCTACCATTAGCCTAAAATTAAACATTTTAGCTTTTATCTTGTTAGCATATTTGCTAGCTAACGCATGGCCTGAGTTTTAACAATTAGCATTAGCAGACTAGCTTTGTGGCCTCACAGCTAATTATTTATGTACAAGTATTAATTTATGCTACCACATTTCTTACTTGGGGACTAAAACCTTACCAAATGAAGGTCCATGGTGTAGCTTATAGTCTTAGTTAGTTGCTGTGACGACAGAAATAAAGTTAGCATGTGGTAGACCTGTCGGCTGTTACAGTAGCACCAAATTAGGAAAGGTACGGTAAAGTTAGGTGAGTGACCAATGACCTCAGTGGAAATGTAAAAGTAAATATGATTGGATACCGCATAATGACACAAATGGCGACTGCAAAACTCAAGCTACAACATTAGATAACAGATATTCAATGCAGTCATGTGGAGTTAGCTACATATAAATGCGCATTAGCTAAGGTAACGTTACATGATAACTTGATGCGGGGCCATTGCATGGCACGCGCTCTGCCAGCTCCGCACGTGGTCTAATCAGCACTTTCTCCAGTATACCCCCGGACAGTGCTATAAACGAGCTCCCCACTGTCTCTGTTGTTACTGTAACTGTAAGTGCACGTGGTCACTGACAGGGACCCTCTAAACATCACAGTAGCGAGCCCCGCCCGCGCGCACCTATCACAGTAATCAGATGAACACTAACAGGCATCATAGATTTACATTAAGATAATGCTCATTATCTACAGCGGGATACACAAAACACGTTAGAGCTGTGACTGAGGGCACTGGGATAATTGCTTTAGGTGACAGAAACAGCACTTACAGCGGGTGTGAATACACACTTTGAATTACATCCACGCGACAGTCTCAAACTCTCTGGCAAAGGTCAATAGGCAACCTGTAACCACTTATCGGTGGCTATTCTATAGCTAGCCTACATCACATGGCCACCGATAAAAGTCAAAATTTCTAGTTTAGTTAAAATCATTCATGATGTCATCCATAATTAGGCATGGCTAAAATACCCCAAGGTAACGCAACTTCTAACCGTTTGATATATAAGCTATAAAAACTCTTCACAATTCTGCAAACAAATAGACTATATAAACACCGATAAACGTAATAACATGCATGTCTGCGCAGGAAAAACATTCATAACATTCACAATGAAGAGAGAATACTTACCACCCGCGATGAGTAGGTCTTTAAATGCTTCGATACTTCTCCTCACTGCAGCCTTCAAACGCGGTTGCAAACTTAAAATAAATTAGATAAATATCTAACAAAAGCACTGGCACAGCATGACTAAAAAAGAGAGATAAAATGCGCCTACAAAAACTTGTCCACTTGTAAAAAAAAAATACTCGTGCACAAGAGGGGAAAAAGTTGTAGCCTAATGACATAACTCTGACTCAAAGGCGCATCTGGACGATGGTGCAAAGCACACAAACTCACACACACACACACACACACACACACACACACACACACACATACACAAAAAGAGAGAGAGAGAGAGAGAGAGAGGTTGTATCTTTAGAAGGGGTTAAAGTCATCAACAAATTATGGAGTGGAGTCCCGCCAGCTGGAGCAAAAGGGGGAACAGTGACGTCATACCACGGAACGTGTGGGTTAAAACTGGCCCTGTGTGGTGATGAGTTAAAGTGGTATTTTTGAGGTCAGTTTAAAATCGCCCTCATAGTGTTTGATGGCACTTTAATCGGTGGCTTGAACGTCAAAGAGTGGGTGATAATCATATTCCTGTGATGTCATGCATGGGTTTTAAACCAGATGTTATGACATCATGAGGGGAATGAGGATCAGGACCTTTAAGGTCTGCAGCCCTCAATCACTCCTGCACCAGTGTGGGCTGCTGTATTCAGATACATGGCAGCAGTGACCCCGGCTGACAAAATTCAGGTATGTCAGCTGCCTTTTATCTCAAGTGATGGTCGGTCTTATGATCCACACCATCCTCAGCTGCAGAACAGGACTTATACATGACTACGGTTATGAAAAGGATGGAAAATAGATGGAGGTTTAGATATAAAAATATAGTTCAAACACCCTTAGGAAAAAACAGTGCCTGTGTGCATTACACTGTGAAGAACAAACCAGACAGTGAAAAAACTAACAGTTATATTAATCAACCCTTTGTCAACAATGATATAAAAAATACTAAACAATGTTTAAACAATTATTTATTTACCAAAATGTTTTATATGGTTGAATTTAAATCCTTAATCAGACCTCTGCTTAAATACAAAATAGATTTCCTCTTTCATTCATGTTATTAATACTGTCCCTCTTCCCTCCAAGTTGGCAGTTTAATGACCAGTGCTTACTAAATTTATTTTCCACTGAGCAAATCATATCTTGTCAGTCAGCAGCCATTGCACCACTTTGTTACAAAACTACTGCATATAAGCAGCTTTGGAAGTTATGGTGGCAAATCTAATCAGATACAGGAACTCCAAGGGGTCTATCCAGAGCAGCAGTTAATGCTGACAACTGCAGCTATTGTAATTTATTGTATGTTAAGTTAAAGAGTTCGAACAAAATTGGAAACAACTTTTGTGGTTTGACTTATCCCATAACTGTGGACGAACAATACAGTTTAACGATGCTGTATTACACAAAAAATGTAAATGCAAGACTTATTTTTTGTTCCCATTTTTCACAGGTTTACATTAAAGAGCTCAGACTTTTTTAAAATGCACTCAATACATATATTCTTGTCAAATTCTGGTCGCAAATTTGTTACAGCCCCTGTTATTGAGGACTTCTCCTTTCCCAAGATAATCCATCCACCTGACAGGTGTGGCATATCAACGTTCTCATTAGACAGCATCATTACTACATAGGTATGCCTTTGGATGGTCACAGTAAAATGCAACCCTAATATGTGCAATTTGATCACATGACACAACAGCACAGATGTCACAAGTTTTGAGGGAGTGTGCCATTGGCATGCTGACAGCAGGAATGTCCACTAGAGCTGTTGCTCGAGAACTGAGTGTTCATGTGACTTCCATAAGTCATCTCCAATGTAATTTCCATGAATTTGGCAGTACATCCAACCAACCTCACAACCATAAACCATGTGTAACAACGCCAGCTCAGGACGTCTACATCCATGTCTTCACCTGCAAGATCATCTGAGACCAGCTACTAGGACAGCTGATACAACAAATGGTTTGTTGAAGAATGTCTGCACAAATTGTCAGAACCCGTCTCAGTGAAGCTCATCTGCATGGTCATCGTCCTCACCAGGGTCTGGACCTAACAGCAGTTCATCGTCGTGACCGACTTGAGTGGGCAACTGCTCACTGTCAGTGGTGTCTGGCACTTTGGAGAATGGCCTTCTTCACTGATGAATCCCAGCAACGCTGTGACATGAGTGTCCCATCGTAGCGATGGAGTTATGGTATGGGCTGGCATAAGCTACGGACAACAAACACAGGTGCCTTTTATCAATGGCAGTTTGAATGCACAGCACATACTTGCGCCATTTATCCACTGCCATGATGCATGGCAGGTTGCGAGGCTGGTTGGATGTACTGCCAAATTCATGGAAACGACACTGGAGACAGCTAATGGAAGTGAAATAAACATTCAGCTTATGGGTAACAGTTCAGGTGGACATTCCTGCAGTCAGCATGCCAATGGCATACTCACTCAGAACCTGTGACATCTGTGGCACTGTGTTGTGTGATCAGGTGGATGAATTATCTTGGAAAAGGAGAGGTGCTCACTAACATGGATTTTAACAAATTTCTGACCAGAATTTGAGATAAATAAATCTATTCAGTGCATTAAAAAAATCTGAGTTCTTTAACTTAAACCTGCGAAAAATGGGAGCAAAAACAAAACTGTTGCATTTAAACTTTTTTTCAGTGTAGACTGAAAATCTCAGATGTGGATCCATAAGCCACAAGGTTATCTTTCTGAGGTTTGTAGCCCACTGTACATCTATGTATAGCCAACCCCTTTTTATCACACCCTAACTCCACATAAAAAGTGCTACATATCAATTGGCCCACAACATGACAGTAGTCAGTGCCCAAAAAGATGCTATTATGAATATTCATCAAAACTGTCTCTTCAAAGTCTGTTCAACATTAAGAACTGAAATGCCTATAAGCAGGTCGTATTTCCAAACTATTTCATGACTGGTATAACAATATCTGACTTCACAGTATGATACACATTAAATAATGAGTGTTATGACTTTGTTATAACACATCAAATCTTTATTTTTACACCACTGTAACGCTCCATTGGAGGCTGCTTAACAAACACAAATAAAATGCTGTAAACACAAAATGCAAACCTTTAACATTTCTTCTGAGGTACCCAACCATTACACCATAATACATAGTTTGACATATTCTGTTTCATTTTAGTTGTTCAGTGGACATTGAGATGCACACTATGATGCACTGAGAACTCTTCTTCTTTGATCATTTGGACCACACTGTAAAGCACCGAATGACGGGATCAAAAATCTTTTTCATGGCCATGTGTTTCTCTGTGTCGAAAACAAAACCTGACACTGTTTGGTCGTAACATGGTTAAATGATAAGCTCCAGCAGAGTTAAAGCTTTTAAGAAGAATTTAATGACACTATGCAGTATCTTGTTTTGATTAATAAATAATAATTAAAAAACAGGTGAACATATACCTGAAATCCTCCCAAAAACCTTCACGGTAATAAATAGCTCTAACAGCTTAAGCCACCCTACATCCATCTCACTTGCATTCAAAGGAAATGTTAGTACCAGCAGATGTGAAAGTGCATGATTGAGGACGGCTCCAGTGTCACATTCTCATATGTCAGTATGCTGACTCCAGCGCTGCAGACAAAATCACCAAGTTATTGCAACCAGAGGAAGAGGAGCACGAGAACAGAGCAAACAGGAGAGCAAACAGAAAATGGATGAATGCTGGAAAAAGAATCGGAAAAACTGGACAGGAGAGGAGGGACGACGAGAAACACAGTAATATCAACTCTCACTGGCAGGCTGCTATGGGGAGTTTTTAATACAGATGAGAAGAAAAGTAATATCAGACAATATTCGATAAAATTTAGGAGCGTACAGTACAGGCTGTTAAAGCACATCCACCCGATCACTAGTTCCTTGTCTGTTTGGTGTGCTAATGTGCTGTAAAACAATGCTATTGTTTTATGTTACAGAGGTCCTTTGACATGGGAACATTTCTACCATCCTATACAGCATGCTATCTCACTTTATTATTGGGGAAGCTCTATTTTAAAATACAATTGTTTAGAGTGTGAAAACATCCCATGTCAACCAGCACACATCTATCCACACAAACAAGCCAGAAACAATGAAATACTGTGTTGAAATGTGGAGGACAGATTCCTCTAAACCCTGATACCCACAGCTGAAACAGTACAGCATCAGATTGTGGCCTGTTTGTTTGTTAGAGCTTGAAATGTTTGAACTTGATGGAGCCTGTATTGACACAAACTTTGGGATTAGTTTGGGCTCATGATTAAATAAATAATTGAAAAATGCTCTGAGGAGCACATATAAAGAGAAATATAAATTGGGATGAGTTGGGCTGTGCGTTGGGCTCAGCTTGGACAGACATGGAAGTGTTGTATCTTATTCTCCAGACTCAAAGCTCTCGCCAGGTTACTAGACATTTGACGCTTTTAACTTTGACAAAGGTTTCTATGTGCAATGGTCCATTCTTTACTGCTACATGGAGCCTCCAATTTGTAAAATCCTGAAATGCATATACACAGGGAATGTACTAACTCCCCTTCCCCCATCACATCACCCCTCAGTCTCATGGTGGTTTGGTCCAGTAGTCACAGAGCAGCAGTCTTTATGTCCGCACCTGGAACTTGCCAGCCTTCGTCATGTATTTGATGCCTTTGAAGGGTTTATACTTCTCACCGTACATGTCCAGTCGATTCACCTTCAGCCCTGTTGAAGGACAAAGACACCTTTTTTTCCCCCATTTAAATTTTTCAATACAAACAGTCTCATGTGCACTTCACTTGTGTTCCTGGACAAGAGCAATGACTGACACCAACACCAAAACAAATCCAACTTGAATGTTTGAGGATGGTGGGTGGTTCATTTATGGATGTTCCAGACAGATCTGATTGGGCTACAAGTACAGAGATGATGGTTTTTTTGAAGTGGGGCTGTATGACGAGCACGCTGACCACCATCTACTGTATGTAATACACTTACTTTAGGTAAGTATTCCATACAGCCCCACTACACTAAAGATACACCTGGTGAAATTTGAAATACCCAGAGGATTCTTGAACATCTGAGGCTGTTCTGGAATCCATACAGAGACACTTTGCTTTTCAACCAGCTTTGTATTATAATATTGTGGGTAGTCAGTGTAAATTAACAATGTTAAACTTCACTCCATCTTGCCAGTGCCCTGATCTCCCTACTCAACACCCAGAGGGCCACCTGTCTCTCTCAAACTCCAATCAGAGTAAAACCAGGTAGCGCTGATCAAATACGAACCAAGTTTCTGTTACTGTATTGTCTATTTCTAACCTAAAATGTCTTCATAAACATATTTTAGTGCACTGTTTGGCTGTAATATGAGAATTTGTGAACAGAAAGTGGGCACCACACTGTTTCCTGTATTTCTCGCCCTAAAATGTATTCAGAAACATATCTTAACCTATTGTTTAACTGTAATACAACATCATTTGTCACCAGCTGGGTGCAAAATTGTTTTCAGAAAAGCAACTTGCATTACATCATCCACCAACAGGAATGTTTATGGGTCCAATGCGACGCAGAGCATTCTGGCAGTCATAGATTTTTTTGAGCAAAAGGAAATGCCACAGCCCTCTGTTTCCTTTTTTTTCTCTGGTCATACAGCACCAATTTAGGAAATATTTGAGTCTTTCTACTGCATAGGCAGCCTAGTGTGTGGAAAGACCCTCTTTCCAGCATTAAAAGACTCTTTATACCTTCAGGAGGATTTTTTTGTCTGCTGCATGACAAAAAGATCTTCTTCCAAATCCAAACCAAGATAGTAGCCCGGGATGACATATGTTTGTGCTAAATTTGTACAGCAAACAAATATTTTGCATGTGCAGAGAAACAAGTCATTTCATGCTACCTGGATAAGGGACTGCATTTTATTGTTGTCAGAATTTAGGAAAATCAGATGCTTAGCACAGTTTAATGGAAAAGCACAAACTGGGGGTCATCACACCTGTACTTGCCTAAATTGTAGTTAAAAAAAAAAAACAAAACACAGACAACTATGTACTAAATGCAATAAGCAAGCTAGTCATATTGTCATACTACCATCAATATTAAAAAATTGACATTTTTTTAATGGAGTTTTAGGTAATATTGCTTTGCATATTACCTAAAATCCTGTTTGGACTAATTACATGCTGGGAAATATGTCTAACTTTGCTAACTAAGCCAAATCACTATAGCTGGAGATAAACATTACGGCAAACCACATAATGAGTATAATAAATGAGTATTTATGACATGTGTATCAAAATCTGTTTATAAAGCAGTGGTTCTCAACCATAGGTCCAGGGAACCCCAGGGCCTTGAGGGAGTTCCAGAGGGTTCCCAGGACAAGGGGGAATAGTCTATCTTATTTAGTAAACAAGTCAGGCCAATGTGAGTAAGAGTCATAAGAGTGATTATCCTGATCATAGGTTTCACTTCCTCCATGGTTGTCTTCTTAACTGGAGCTGACAACTACAGAATTCTGGTCTGAATCATATTTAAAACCAAATCTTTTCAGATGGAGGTCCCTGCAGTGAAATCTTATCAAATGGGGGTCTGTGACCTCATGTGCATCAATTTAGGGGTCCTTCACATGAAACAGGTTGAAAACAACTGTTGTTGAGTACATTCTGATATCATATGAGGAGGTGTATTTATTGCATTTGGCACCATCTAGTGGCCATTGTGTCACTGTGCTCACAGAGTGGGACAGTCAGGTGGTTATCAGCTGAGCAGGCGATGTGGTCAAAGCTCCTCTTATGTTTGGGGGTTGGAGGGACATTATTGTCAATGCAGAATACAAAGTGGAAATAATATTCATTACTTAATGATAACACATGAATCTCACTCGCTGAAACAGCCCGGATGTTTTGTGTGATAGTTTAGCAGGAATTTAAACTAGGTGTTGTTTCACAGAGAATTTCAATAATGAAAAACTATTCATTCCATACATGGAGGAATTCCTGGAATGACGCACTCATGACTGCATGAGAATAAGTGATCATGGTCAGAGTGTGTGTTAGGGGTGAGAATCACCAGAGGATCCACAATACGATATTGTCACAATACTTAAGTCACAATACAATATTACTGCGATTTTAATTATGTTACAGTATGCTGAGTACTGCGATAAAATACACTGCAATATATTCCAATTTATTACCATTTTTCAACTGTTAATTATTTCCCTAAAGTGGACATAGGGGGACATCTGTTTCATCTAATAAGATAAAATTTTCAGTCTGTTCATCTCACTTCAGCCTTTTTTGCAGCAGCAAAATGTATCTAGTGGACTGAAGAAGCAATTGATTGTATTATTCTAGTAGGCTACCTAAAGTTTTAACTTGTATTTGTCATATTAATCATTTATATAACAAAAAATCAATATTTGGCACTGTGTGACGATACAATATTGCCATAAAAAATAAAAAAAATAAAAACTATCATAATACAATGCTGTGTGTGTGTGTGTGTGTGTGTGTGTGTGTGTGTGTGTGTGTGTGTGTGTGTACCTGAGATGGCCATCTGTTGGATCTTGAACTGGATGTTGATGGTTGGGTTCTCGTCAGGTTTGGAGGCCCCAGCCTGCAGGCTCATGGTGCCTTTCAGGCTGGGAAGCTTCTGTGGGTTGATCTTGCCAACATCCCATGTCAACATCTGTCCAAAAAGACAAACCATCAGGATTGCAATATGGCATAATTTAAGGTTTTTTTGAGACTTCTACAACTTCTTGTTCATTTTCAATTCCTTTCTTCTTTCCTTTAGGCATATAAACACACTCTCAGACACAGTGTCTAAGTACCTTTGTGACTGGGTCAAAGGTGTATGTTCCCTGTGAGGGGTTGAGGTTGGCATTCAGGACGCCCCGGGGCAGCTGGCTGCTGACTAGGACTGACTCCACGGCCTTGCCCATGGTCTGTTTGGGTCCCAGAGTCAAGTCAAAACGTCCTTGGGAGCTTCCCTCTCGGAAGGTGATGTTGTGCTTGACGTACACTGGGATCGCCACCAGGCTGCGGAGGAACCGGGCAAACAAACAACAGGAATCAGACTCATACTAACAAACAAACGTTTTGTGATTCTGATGTTGTATTCTAATATTAGTACACTGCTTGAGAGACAGAACACATACTGTATATTTGCAACTATTGAACAAAAACACATGGATAATATACTGTTTTTTTCCAGCTTCATGTGTCTTTGCTATAAAGTGATGATGAATAAGTGATCAGATTCTGAATGGAAAAAAACACTGACTTCTGAGAGCTGACGTGGTAGGAGAGCAACCGGAAGTTTCCATCAGGTGGGATGAAGGAGAGGATCCGCTCAGCTTCCCAGCGCTTGAACCGAACACACGGGTGGAAGCTGACATCATCCAGCAGCCGAGGATTCTGGGAGAGAGAGGCAGAGGGCCAGGTTTGATAAAAGCTAAAAAGAATTAAAATGACTTGATAGGAAAAATTCAATAGAGTCCATGTCTGTGAGAACTTTCAGTACTCAACCCAGAGATGCATGTGATACTCTCCAGATTTGACTTGCAATTAAGTTTAAGTTTAAGTTTATTTACTTTATTAATCCCCCTGAGGGGAAATTCAATGTTTTCACTCTTGCTTGTCAATTACACACAGGTCCGAAAGACACACACATGCACAAACAGGACCTATACATGCACAAAGTGGAGAGATGTCAGAGTGAGGGGGCTGCCCTTGGTGAGGCGCCCCGAGCGGTTGGGGGGTTCAGTGCCTTGCTCAAGGGCACCTCGGCAGTGCCCAGGAGGTGAACTGGCACCTCTCCAGCCACCAGTCCACGCTCCATATTTTTTTTGGTCCAGACAGGGACTCCAACAGGCGACCCTCTGGTTCCCAACCCAAGTCCCTATGGACTGAGCTACTGCCGCCCCACATGTATGTATGTATTACAAACTTCAATGTGTTTGTCAGTCTGTCAGTGTGGGTCCACTGAATACATAAAAAGAATAAGCACCTTTGTTAAAAACTCTGGGAAAAAACATACTCACCATGAACGAGAGTGTGAGATCAGGCATGCCCGTCAGTTTTACACAGGCATCAATAACTCCCTGAATTTCTGCTGTAATAGTGGAGCCTGAGGAGGAGGAGGGTTGGAGGTTGATATGGGCAAAGGAAAAAACAAAAACAATGCAAATTAAAAACAAAACTTATTTCCAACGCAGACACTAATAACTGTTAAGTAAAGCTGTAAACGGCTGGTACTTTATGCTGTTGTTCCATATCTTTTATCTGGCCATTTTCTTGACAACTCTAATAGTAATCCAAATGTAGTTCTTCTCCCAAACAGAAACGTGCAAATGAATACAATCAAATTACATCACAGTGTGCATTAAGAATTATCATGAAGAAAATTTTAATATGATGCAATAATGTCATTTATCAGAATCTATGCAATTTCTGTTGTTGTTTTTTATTTTCATTTTTCCATTAAGTTATCTGAGGAACCTTAACAGAAAAGTAGTCACAGCTAACAGAGTGGCTAAATAATGAATGGTTATGTTATAGCACTGGTACAGTAAAGTGTTTGACTAGCAGGCTGTGCAGAGCAATACCTGATTTATCAATGATTGCATCAATTTCTTCCACCACATCAAAATAGGCTTCATTGTTGGTGTATTTGACTCCGGTGCGTCGCCATGGCACCACTGACAGCTGGCCTGTGGGGAGCTGTTCACCAACATTGGTGCTGCCTGAAAACACAGACATGAACCACATGTATGATAATGAGCACATTTACACAGGGCACAGAAATTGGCTGTTGCAACAATTCCTGCCATAATGCAGACTGATGGCTGACTTTGTGCATTTGTAAATTAGACCACACATTATTATTTTATCTGAACAGGATCTTTCTGTCAATGCACAAAACATAATGTTAAAGTACTTGGTTTAAAAGGATGTGCTGTGAGATTTATTAGTGATGAGTGAAAATGAACAAACAAATCTTTTTGACCAACTATTTTTAATGTCCTGTGTGTACCGGGTCATCCTGTCGAATGTCAGACTGCTCATGAATCCTTAACGTGTTGTAATGTAGTGCAGCAACAGCACTGAATGAACAAGCAAGGATTCAGACTTGACCATTTAGGTGGTCCTCAGATGGTCATTCTTCCAACTTCGGTGTGATCATGAGCTTTAACTTATAAGGTAGAAACAGCAAGGGGGCTACAAAGAAGATGTGTTGTATTTTACCACTCTGAGCATTTAAATAATACATTGATAACAGAGCAGAGGAAATGGATCTGGTGAGCCGTGAAATATGAACTAATTTTTCACATTATTCTGACACCACACAAATGCAACACAAGGCTGCGGAGGCAACTGGGACGTCTGCTAATTGCCCCTCAAAGAATGACAGATTGTTGGTCAGTGACATTTCTATAACATCATACATAGCCTACCTACACACAAGTAGAATGCTGAATCAATGCATTAAAGTCAACTTTTTTTTTATCTCTATTAATGTGCATGTAAAATGATACATGATGACTGATAATACATTGATGTTTTGTTGGGGTAGGTAGCACTGGCTGTTGAACGTGCATCTTCTAAAACGAGTGCCACAAAAAACTGACATATTTTGCAAAAAGTATCAAAACTCATTAGTTCGAACCGCTCGATACAATCACATGTATCAACTTGAAGTAACTGATACTGTTTAGAGAATCAGTCCGCCATTCACAAAGACTTACCTCTAAAATATGTAGATAGCACATCGCATTCATATAAAACTAATAATTAAAACACTTTGTTCAAGCCCAGCGGCAGCACATTATTTGCATAATGAAAAGCTAATGGAAAATTAAAAGCTTGGGCCTTAACCTTTAATGCCACCACAACATAATAAACATTACATCATAAGTGTTAATGGGACACCCTTATGTTTTAAGCACCGAGATACCAGGACTAATTTGTCCAGCACTTTGCACACATTGGCACACATCATATCAAACATCACCGTCATGAGCTGACAGAATGTTCCAAACATTTAGTGGGAGTGTCCAGTTCAGTTTGAATTTTACAGGCACTGTGGCCTGTGGTTAACAGGACTGTACCTGTGATGGTGTTGACCATTGTGCGGAGGATGGTGGGAGGCTTGATGAGCTCTTTGAGGATGTTGGACTCTGTGGCCAGTGGAAAGCCGTTGTCCAGCATCTCCTCCAGTAGTTCATACACCACCACCACATTGTCTTTAATAGCAGCCTCTGTACACACCCCAAAATAGTCCTGAGAACAAAAAACACAGGCAGGATATGAGTATTTCAAGTCATATAAGAGTTGCTTCAGCTGAACTAAAAGTGTACCAAAAAACGCAAGGTGGCCAGAACCTGGAAGGTGTCGACGACTCTGTGCAGAAACTCGATGACAAATAGCGGTGGCACCTCGCTCTGGATGACTGCGACAAAGTAGATGCGATGCCGGAGCACACTGATAAGGTAGTGATGCGGTGTGGGGATCACTGGTGGGACGTTCTCCGGCTCAGTGGCACGCTCCTGTGCCTCGAAGAAGTAGTCACACACGGAGCGACTGACTACGCTCTTCCAGTGCTTCTCCAGGAAAATGTCCCCCGAGGCGTTAACTAGGAACAGGCTGTGGATCATTTTGGCTGAAGGCTGAGAAGCTAACATAGGAAGAGAAACCAAAGATGCTGTTATTAGAAAAGGTAGAGGAAAAAAGTGTGTATAGAATTCAAATCAAACTGAGCTGTTCACGCACATACACGTGGCATATTAAATAATATTAACTGCAGTATATTTCAAAGAAAAAAACTTTTTAAAAAATGCTTCTTTCTGTGTTCATGGCTCCTGTGAGGTTTAAGCAAAGATAGACCCAGAAGTATGAGGTCACTGGTTTATACTTAGTGTATGTCTTCAAAGAATGATGTAGTACAGTACAGCCCATTAAATACAAAATACTGAGTGTGTAGTCACTGATTAAGAATCCCCAATTAAGGATGAAAAAAGCAATGTCTTTAACAAACTAACAACATACCATACATTCTGTCAATTTGATGAACATCATCTCTTAAATCTAAATGAAGTTAAAAATCACTTACAAATAATCATAGTTAATTTCTGACATAAAGGCCTTTATCACTGCAGATATTTTGACTTATCATTGCAGGAAAAGCACAGGCGTTACTACATTATAACATTAACAAGAGCTTTGTTCTATTCAGGTGTCCAAGTAACCCATTAAAGTGTTACAGTGAGCCAGCATGCACACTACCAGGACCCTGACACTAAAGCAGCTAAATGGAATTCAGCCACCATTCATTTCATCATTTACACCTGTGCTTTTCCCACTGTGAGATGTCTCTGTTTTACACAATGTGATGACAGCATTATAGCAGAGGTGGGACCAAGTCATTGTTTTGCAAGTCACAAGTAAGTCTCAAGTCTTTGCACTCAGGTCCCACATCAAGACGGACAAGTCCAACGTCAAATCTGAAGTCGAAAACTTTGAGTTTGTATTGTAACATAAAGTCGTTTTAACAGCAGAGTAATATTCTATTAAAGTTACAAATATCTATTTTTAAGGTTTGTATCTCTGTCTATAATTTTTGACAAACTTATCATTTTTGTTGACCACTGCTTGGTTTTTGAACAAAAATATCTTTGTATAATTTATGGCTCTGTAACATAACATTAGGTCTTTGTGGTTCCCTCCTACAACGTAATTGGATGCTGTCGGATTGAAGAAACTTGCTAAATGAATAAGATTAAGGTAGTTAATTCAGGAAATGGAAGAGAAATGAACTGATTTGTGGCATCCCTTTTCAATAACATACTTTTTGAGCTTTGGAGAAAGTATCAAGTGTTTACAAGTCAAAAGTCTCAAGTCTATGGAAAGTCATGTCATTGGTGTTAAAGTCCAAGTCAGGTTGCAAGTCTTTTATGATTTTGTGAAGTTGAGTCTTAAGTCATCAAACGTATGACTCAAATCTGTATTGAATGCAAGTCATGTGACTTGAGTCCCAAGCTCTGCATTATGGTGCCATAAGTATTAATTAAATATTTTAACAGTACATTGAAGCACTTTACACACTAGCAATTGATGAATGCAGTGATTTGTTAATGTTAGGGAGACATAAATATGAATGTGTGAACATTTCATAATGGATCTATGAACACTGACGTTTGAATAAAGTCTCTGAATAAGACCTAAACTCTAAGGCGTATAACCAGGTTCAATCTGTGCTTTATCAAATGTTGGAGCTAAAAATAAAATTAATGAAAACAGTAAGTCCATGCCCACTATTGAAACGAGCCCTTCCTCCTCTCACATGACACATTTCTTGGTGGATAAAAGCAGGCTTTAAGCTCTGGACAGTGCACACACACTGTTCATACAATGTGCTTAATTCAGTAGCAGAGAATGGGTCTGTGTGCTTAGTATGTGTATGTCTATCACGTAGATACAATGTACGGGTTGTACAAACTTTTTCTTAGCAACATGCGAATGAATGGCTCATGTCATCTGATATAAACTGCTGTCAGTGTAATGGGTCAATTTTTAAGTGTATTAAATGTCATGTTTTTAAAGAGGAGTTTGGCGCACAGCTCTTCACATACACAGAGACCAGTGCTTACATATCAGGAATTATTGTGATACAATACTATCAGACCAAGTCTTCTTTAGTTAGTGTCAGTGTAAGGTGGTGGGGAAACATAACACCGGAATATTCATTAAATATGCGGCTAAGCTATCGAGTTCTGACCCGGATATAACTCAGCGCCGCAATAACTGGTATAAATTACAGCTACACAAAATTATCTTGTTTGCTAAGATGAAACAACCGTGTAACTGTAGCTATCTGTATCGCAGAGCAGCTGAAGGCCTCCGTCTCCACACAAGATGCTCCATCAGTTCCTCCTCCTGTCTCACACGGTCTCATGACAGAGGAAAAGCCCCGTCACCCGGTACACGGGATGAAAATACTCCAAAATAACGATGTTATTCTCACTGAAAATATACCACTTCCCACTCGAGCGATTAATAGGTTGCAAGCGACTTACCGAAGACAGTTGTTTTACGTTTTCGTCTCGCCTTTCACCCCTTTTCCCGATGGAAGATTGAGCTGCCGTCGTTGCTTCCCGTTAGGTGGCGACGTTCTTGGTGCGAGGAAGGATAGAGAGTGCAGCGAACCAATCAGAATCCAGGCAGGTTGTAAAGTCCCTCCCGCTTAATGGAGTCATAGGTCAACAATACGGAAGTTAGTGGCTCGTGACTCGCTTGTGATTGGACTGCGGAGGGAGAGCTACAGTAAACACCAGTAAAACTGGCCGCTGATTGGCCGCAAGATGGAGCTGGTCTGACATTTTGTTTCCAGTATCAGATTTCATCTTGTGGAGCTCCTCTCCATTCAATTAAACAGATACAGAGACATGGCTTATTTAAAACTTCACTCAGAACAAAACTGCAGTGCTTAGATTCAAAAATGCTTTCCCAGTGAGGCTGCAGCATAAACTATGTTAGACTTCTTATATTGTTATGCACACAGCAAATCTAATGTTATATATTTAAATAAGGTTATAGTAAAATACCAATGAAGATGGCACAGAACGTCACTGGATGTTAAGTCATACTTATTTGTGTATGATACATAACATATACAGAGCATTTTACTGCTGACCAGTTTCAAAACTGTTGTGTAAAGATCACTGCATTGCATGGAGGAATGAAAACTAAGTGCACAATGATATCTGGGAGTTCACAGTCTGCAGTTCCACCTTCTTTCCAAGTGCAGCTCACACCCTCAAGACAAAGTGTCAACACACAACAATGAAGCTGTGAGAAGTCCTGCCCTCAGTGTCAATATGTTGAATCCTTACAGTAAATGTAGGAACAGAAAAGCACAGACATCAGAACAAAATACTAAACTAAGATAACAGAGATCGGTTTGCCAGTTTATAACCTTATCCATGTTATGATCATGATGAGCCTCTTGATGTGGAAAAAGCAAAATCTGTGTTAAATTGTGCTGATTCTAAAGTTGTTACGAGCTACAGTATACATTTTTGCACTCATCAGCACAGGTCAGCTTGTAAATCTGCATAATGCGTAAACAAAGATGGCTTTTTAAATGCTCTGAATCTCATAAATAACTATCTATTTTACTGTAAGCCAGTGACTGACTAAGTGAGAAAAATTATATATGTTTTTGGTTTCCATAATGTGTTTTAGAAGGAAACATTTAGCTACATTGTCAACCAAACATCACCTTCAATATATTTGTTCACCAACTGAAACTTTAACTGTAACACCAGGGGTTTTACATCACATAGATCTAATGAATGTGACTCCTGTGTGTTCAGAGATATTACACTGAAAACAAGACCATGTCATCCACAACCCAGCAAAATTCAAGGAAGGAAAGTCTGTGTATTTAGATTTTGTTAAAGATTTAAATGGATGAGAACACAGCACTACATTTGACATGATATTCTCACATTCTACAGGGACATCTAGTGGCCACAAGTGGTCACAGCAACTCCACAAATGACTAAACTAATGCCAGTAGGTCTGTTATAAATGCTCGCCAACTAGCGGGTAAAATTGATCAGTTAATCAATAATGGTGTGAAGCTTTGTAAAACTTAATTTCTTCAAATGAAATGTAATCTAGTCTTTCCTTGATCTGTCATCACAGTGACACCCTGAGCCCTTTATAACAAAGCTCATGTAGAGCTCTACAGTTTTGGGGGAGCCTGAAAGGCCCTGTGCAGCTGGATGATTTCAAACACGTGACAATAGCATTCTTCACACGCATTTTGACTATTCACTTAAATTTCAACTCGGAACAAGGAATATGGAAAAGATAAAAAGGTATCAAAGGAATATCTCACCCCTACATGACCACCTGTATATCAATTCCTCACCCCTTGTTGTGTTGAATTTGTGAAGAAGCCTTTGTTTTTCTTGCATGCCTCCAGTGAACTAAGAATCCAAAAACAGAAACAAAATTCTTGATAATTTAAAGTCAAAGGGGTCCACCTTTAATGACATATCAAAACATCTGTTTACAAACTCTCACACAACTGAGTGCAGTATAATCCAAGTCTCATTTATCCAGTCGTGCACATGCAATTTTGCTAAAACCCTCCTAAACTGAACTGAAGGTAAAAATTCCTGCTCTCTTCAAGGCCAGACTCCATCGACAAAAACAGTAGTTTTATATTGCTGAGCACAGGAGCAGCTGGTCTACCCCTGCCTCAATCAGTTAGTCTGTTATTGTGTGACTCACCTTTTGACTAGATTATTGTAGTTCCCTGTATATGGGGGTGACTCACTCCACACTTTGGAGACTCCAGATGGTTCAATTGCAGCTGCTAGACTCTTAACAGGAGCAAAGAGACTACAACACATCACTCCTGCTATTTGTGTTTTGTAGCCTTAAATGGTTTGGCTTCACAATACAGTACCTACTTGATAGTTCCATATTCTCCCCCTAGATCTCACAGGTCTTCCTCACAGCAACAACTCTCGGTCCCTCACTCATGCCGCAAAACCAAAGGTGACCACATTATTGTTGTTGTTGTTGTTGCAGCTCCCATAGTAAGTCCTGTTCCACCACTGAGTTTTTAATCAGAATTAAAGACACAACTTTTTCACTTGCTTGTAGTTCAGCCAAAGACTTAAATTTCTTTAAATTCTTTCTTCACTTTGCTGTTTATCTTGAGTTGTTTTTGCTTTTTCATTTTAGTCCTGCCCTCTCTCTATTACTGCTTTATTGTATTACATTATGTATAACTGCCTTTTATGAACCCTTTACTTCTTTAATCATGTAAACCTGCGTTGAGGCAGATTCTAACCCATCTGCCTCGACTGGAAAGCATTTTGGTTCAACTCCTGTTGTTTTTAAATGTGCTATATAAATTACTGACTTGACTTTGCCGAATCCAAATTAACCCTTTAAACATCAAAGTCACACAATAACACAAACAAATAAAGTGATCGAGGCAGCAGTTGACCAGCAGCTCCGGCATTCAGCAAGGTAAAAGTACTGACTTTGTCTGTGGTGTCTGTCTTTGAAGAAAGCACAGAAACTTTCAGTTGTTTTAAATGCTGGAATTCTAGCGAAAACGCATGTACTTGTCAAGTACTGAGGGTACAACTGGATAAACAAGACTTGGATTATACTGCACAAGTTGTGTGAGTTGTTGAACAGGTGTTTTGATATAGTTTTGCTGGTGTTAATGGTGGACTTCAATTCATCAAGATTTGGTCTTTTTTTTTGGATTCTTCGTTCATCATGGAAGCATGTGAGAAAAACAAAAGTTTCTTCACAAATTTAACAACACAGTCAAATAGACAAATAGTCATGTGTGTGGGGGGGTGAAGTATTCCTTTAAAGACACTAAAGACTAACTTCTATCAGCTTTTCACTGTGACAGATGGGATCCTACATAAAAATACAGCTTTATACTGAAGTTGTAACAGTGTTGGTTATTTGGCATGAGATTTCTGTTTTTAATCCTTCCTCTTCTCTGTGGTGTGACATAGGCAGGGCTCTGTAGGAAATATTTTATCAAACCACACCCAAACAGTCTGATAAAACACATTAGCAGAGTTTTTGAGTTTTTAACTTCTAATAAATGATACCTAAGGATGTTTATTTTCACACTTTGTTGCTAACTTAGTCACATCTATCAATATTATGAAGAATTTTCAGAGGCATTTAAATAAATGCACACAATTTGGAATAATGTCCTTGTCACTGTTTTACCAGTGGCTGACACCATTAACTTGTCTGCTGTTTGTAAGGTTGTCCCAATTCCTCCGTCATCTTATGTGCAAGATTCCTTTCTGTACTTAAATATTAAATGAAATTCCCAATACTAAACGTTGAGTTTATACAAGAGGGTTCATTGTTTTGGAAAATGTGCATTTAATTAGTCATAATTAAAGCATCTTTGTCCCTTTGGGGTGAATCTTGAAGGAGTGGACTGAGATGATGATATTATTGTAGAACTGATGAAATTTTAAAAAGCTTGAGGAAAACATGAATGGCTCAACATAATTTATTTTCATTTTATGTTAAAATGTACAGAGTTCTTTGAAAGTACTTGCTAAGAAAGAAAGAAAAAAACAGAATAAATGGAAATACATACAGGGACAGAGTAGAGAGTTGAGGCTGCTGAGCGCAAATCAACCTTCACTGTGTGCCCAGCCATCACTCCTCTCTTTATTTTGCGCTCTCTCTTAGCATACAACGCAACATGTACAATTACAAAGGATACAAAAAGGGAAGCGATATAAACAGACAGAAATATACTGAGCTCCTTTTTACATGCCTCTTAAATGTAAGGAAGTCATCCTATACACACACAAGTAAAAAAAAAAAAAAAAGAATGCCAAGTGACCTTTAGATATTTGTAGTCCTTTTGTTTAAAATAGCATTAATATACTACACAAAGATAGAAAAACTCTAGAGATGAGATGGAATGAAGAGGTTAAAGGCATCTTAAAGTCACTAAAAGTGAGTGGTAATTTTTTTAAATTTTGAATTTCTTAGTAATTATTACCCAAGAGGCGAGCTAAAAAATATGTATTGTTTTTTTTTCCTGAAACAGAAGTGAAAAAAATGACAGTACCAATATCAATGTCAGAGTTTCCTTTTATATTATAGAAAAAACATTTTCTCTACAATAGGTTTTTCTAAAGTCAAAAAGAGTCAGCTTGTGTCATAAAAGAAAGCTGCCCAGTCTGATAAAATTCAGAAAGAAACAAAACACAAAAGAAGTAGAGAACAGAACGATACACACAAATAAAGTATGCAATGTCAGGTCTGTAAGAAAATTAAAACTCCTCTTTTGACTTTGAATACTGGTACATGGAGCAACAAGGTCGACCAAATCAACCCTGCCGGTTGAACGCCACAACCAACAGAACCTCTAACACTTAACTCACCTCCGACCCTGCTTTTATATGAGTGTGCCTCTATGTGAGGGCCAAACCATGCACTAGATCAGGCATTTAGGCACACCTTTTCTAAAGGCTAACTGTCTACTGCCATATTTCCAGCCAATGGGAGTGCAGAATTTTGCAGAAAAGAAAAAGGAAAAAATACAGTTTTAACAGAATACACCATTCAAAAGCAGACTCCTGGACCT